GACAATGCGGTGGCGGGACGTTGAGTCGTCGACATTGGAGGCATCCGCGCCCTTCAGGAATGATACTGTGAGCATTCGTGAAAGCTTGGAACGGGTGTACAGCAGCTCCCTCTCAACCACTCCAACTACTGGATAGTCTTCGCTTGTGTAGAACGTGTCATCGCTGACAAGTACTGTGGACTTGATGAGAGCGTGCCAATGGCGGCAGACGAAACGAAGGCTGGGTGGTAGTGGGCGAAACGGCGGGGCATACAGTGACAGTGGGGAATCAGGCCGCTCGGGTGATGAGGGCCTGGAGAGCGGTAAGATGGCGGGTAGGTTGAGAAATCAGAGGTCAGCAAGGACGATGAGCAAGAGGATGTGCCTTGTTGTCGCCAACGACGATCATGACCAGCAGCCATGGGAGTGAGATATTAGAAGGTTTTGCCAAACTAATGAGGTCATACTACCTTTATCTTTCAATTTTCAGTGTGATACTCGTTCGGCTTCTGAATTCGATGGTGATCGATAGTATAATATACTATGCATATGACAACTGTCGGGAAGTTTAATGAGGTGAGCAATAGCTTAGGTGAACCATCTTCGTCCTTCAGGAACGACACCGAGCATTCATGAAAGCTTGGCACGTTACACTGGCGGTTCCCTCTCAACCTCTCCAATTACTGCATAAGTTTCGCTTATGTAGAATGTGACACCGCTGGAAAGTCCTGTGGACTTGATTAGGGCGTGCCAACGGCGGCAGATGAAACGAAGCTTGGGCGGTAGTGGTTGAAACTTGATACAAATGTCGTTAGTGCTTTCTACTAATTGAAAAGATCCAAGTGCTCTTTATATAATTATAGTATACAACGTAGTTATGTCTTTTCTAATATCTGATGGAGTTCTGTCTTGCAACCTCATACCGAGCACCTCTAGTACGCTAGTCCGAACCCGGCAGAGCTACAATTTCAAACTATCTTTGACTGCAAACAAAAAGCGACGCCAGCAGGATTTGAACCTGCGCCCTCAAAGAGGAACAGATAGTCGTAATATTCGAATCTGTCGCCGTAACCACTTGGCTATAGCGCCTTATACTTTTGAATGGTAATCATCCGTGCTTAAGACTCAGCACTTAAAGCGAAATTTTAGACACGTATCGGCAGTCAGTTTAACAATCTTCGGAATTTAACCAAGATCCTATTGCAAGCACCATCCATTCACTTGGATTTTGCATTCTAATTGTCTAAGCTAGTGCAAGACATCCTTGATGTGTGTACAAGTACTCCTTCAGCTTCCAGAAATGCATTTCAAACACATTCATCTGCAATCGCCTTCAGAAGCTGTCTTGCCTAGGTAGATCATTTCTGTAGCAGCAACCAATAAAATTGCAGTCCCAAGATTACTCTCCAGCTGGTACGTCGTTTTAATATAAAAGATCCCAAGAGAAACTTCGAGCATATTGAAATAGACCATGTTTGAGTCCCCTTCCCACATCAGCGTCTTGATGGGAAGACATTTGTTGATATTTGCTTTGGAGAGCAGTGCCAAGCTGAGCGTGATTTGATCGGCTATCCGTTGAAGTTATTCCCTTTCATTGCCAGCCACCATGACGATTCCCCAGTCTCTTCGGTTTAGGAGCTTAAAAGTGAGCAAAACCTCCGTTTTCACTAATACGAACTCCTGGATACACTTCTTTAGTCATGCCACGGCAACCAAGTTGCAAATAAGTTTCCTTGGAAGGAAGTGTAATAATTATGAGCGCGAATGAGCGCGATCGGAATATACTTTTAAGCATGAACCTTAGCCTGGATCATACCTGAAGGATGTCGCCATGATAAGAGGACCCTGAATCGCGGGGTATGTATGGCCTGTGTGGGGTATTATTGGGGTAACAGATGTGATATGAAATTCCTTACAGCGTCGTGCCCGATGTTGGTTAGGCCCGGATATCCTCAACCAGTCCGCCAAGATCCTTGGAAAAACTGTCAACTGACCGTTGGAATGGCTATCTAGGGTTGGGCGACTTTATACTGTACGCAGTTGCATATCTGCTTCGATAAAGCGCTGACCGTGGTAAAGGGTAGCTTCCTCGTCTAAACTCCTCTCAAGCGAAGAACAAAGTATCTCCTACGGTACCATATGCGCTCAGTTGCAGAGCAGATTCCATTTATGTGTTTGGTTTTTCGTAAGAGCGTGATTATCCAATTGGTCCATTTCAAAGCTGTCCTACGCATTTCGACTGAATGTTTAGCTTGGAACCTTGCAAGCGACGCGCAGCTCCAAGGCACCTCAATCCCCACCAGACTCCACTTTCTGTGTTTCAGCGTTCTGTATACTAAAACTAAGTACACAAGATAATCGAAACATTTTTTAGCGCCGACCAAGACCTCACATCCCGCCTGCAACGCGGTACACGCATCATAGGACTGGGCCAAGAATTCAAGCTCTGGATCTTTTTATAAAGTCTGAGATTCTCTGTCTCCGCTTTCTTCGTGCATTGGCTTCTTCGCCCTCGCCTTCTATTCATCATGTCTTTCTTCAAGAAGGACAAGCCTATCCACGACGAGTCAGCACCGGATTCAATCCTGGAGAAGAATGATATCAATCATGTGGAAGCTTCTCCAAGTGCGGTAGAGACAGCCGGCCCAACCTTCGATAGTGAGAGGACGGGTAAACTTCTGAGGAAGATGGATTGGAACCTTGTTCCTTTCCTCGCCCTCTTATATCTGTATGAGCTTCTTTTCTTCTTTGTATTTTTATCACTGACGCTTACTTATAGCCTCTCCTTCCTTGATCGCTCTAACATCGGCAATGCGCGTTTGGCTGGTCTCGAGGAGGATTTGGGCATGCATGGGCTCGATTATAATGTAAAAGGATCCACTTTTTTTTTTTTCTATCTCACGCCGACTGGATTTCTAGGTCGCTCTCGCTGTCTTCTTTCCTTGGTATGTTGCAGCAGAAATTCCTAGTAATATCATGATGAAGCGTACGAGTCCATCGTTCTGGCTCTGCGTTATGATGGTGGCGTGGGGTACCTGTACGTCTCTAACTCTTATATTTTCGATTTCGAACACTAAACTATTTCTTTAGGCATGACGCTCATGGGATTGGTCAAGAATTTTACTGGACTGCTCATTGCGCGTATGGCTCTTGGTTTGGCGGAGGGAGGTCTCTTCCCTGGTGTTACTTGGTACATCACCCTCTGGTATCGCAGACACGAATGCGGTTTCCGTATGGCGATCTTTTTCTCAGCTGCCACACTCGCCGGTGCATTCGGTGGTCTCCTTGCGCGAGCTATTTCCGAAATGGACGGTGTTGGTGGCCGACCTGGGTGGGCTTGGATCTTCATCCTTGAAGGTATTGCTACTATCATTGTCGCCGGGTTTGCCAAGTGGATTATCAACGATAGCCCCGAGAGGTAAATTGTATTTCTCCGTGCTTCTAAATGATGGCTAAGAGTTTCTTCCTAGTGCGAAGTTCTTGACTAGTGATGAGCGTATTGAAGTTCGCGCCCGTCTCAAACAAGACCGCACTTCATTGGCCGATGAATACGCCTCCAAGTACCTGTTCGATGCCCTCAAGGATTGGAAAATCTATGTTCATATGTTGATTACCATCGGTAACCAGTTATATCGCGCTGATTACCGCATATGGCTAACTTCGCCGTAATTTTCTTAGGTATCTACACTCCCCTTTACTCTATTTCTCTCTTCCTCCCCACCATTGTCAGGAACATGGGCTACACTAATGAACAGTCACAACTCATGAGTGTACCTCCGTACGTTGTGGGATGTGTCGCTACGATTGCCGGCGGTTGGGCGGCGGATAGATCCCAAAAGCGTGGAGTCTATATGATTGGATTTTGCGTTGTGGCCATTATCGGCTTCGTCTTACTCATTTCGACTCACCAACCTGGCGTTCAATACGTTGGGACCTTCTTCGTGGTGTCAGGGTATGTAATATTCCCATTATTTATCGAATTTTTACTAAGATTCTCTTTATTTAGTATTTATCCTAACGTGCCTATGGGTGTTGCATGGAACGGGAATAATATCGGGGGTGCTACTAAGCGAGCTGTCGGTATTGCTATGCACGTCGGTAGGTTTATGTTCTTTAATAATTTTTACATTTCTTGATCTCTTTCAGGCTTCGGTAACCTTGGTGGTGTTATCTCTGGCTTTGCGTACAGATCTACGGATGCTCCGAGATATTTCTCAGGCCATGGCCTTTTGATCGCCACCGTCAGCATGAGTCTTGTTCTATGTATCTTCATGACGAACTATCTGGCTCGCGAGAATGCCAGGAGAGATTCTGAGATGCATAGAATTGGCCTCACCCCCGATACGTACACGGAACAAATGCGATACAACGAGAGGGAGAAAGGAGACAATGCCACCGTAAGCATTTATCCTTAATACTATCTTTAACGCTGATCCTCGTGTAGTTTTTCCGATACACAACTTAATATGCAACGTAATGGCTCTTACTAATTGGTGGATCATGCTTTCAATGCCAATCCTTCTACAATGATGGTATGAAGATATTACTTGTGCATCGTAGCGTAAAATCTGTAGTTTTATAAAACTAAATAACCTCACCAACCCCAATAGCTCCTGAGGAATACTTGCTTATCATAGGTTATATCAGGGCAGTGAGAAAAAGTAGTTTTGAGTCTCAGTTTTGGTATCTTGAAAATATATTATCATTCCATTTCAGCAATACTATTAATTTCATCACTGTGACTCTCTTTCTCTCTTTCAACAACGCTGGCGACATTTACGGCCATGATGCAAAAAATGTGGCTCTCCCTTTGGATTATGCAGTATTTTTCAGATCTATCTATTGCTACTTGGAAACTGAAAGGTCTCAGAAGTTAATAATTAGTCATAGGAGGAGTACTTGGCTAATATATTCAGAAGATCCATTAAATCACTTCATATGAACACTAAATTCAGACTACATACAATGGAGTATGTACATAGAAGGACTAGTCAGATTAATTCAGTGGAGAGCAACATGAATGTCCCATGGCTTAGTTGGTTACGGCGTCCGACTGTTATTTCATAACTTACGGTATCGGAAGATCGAGAGTTCAAGTCTCTCTGGGACAGCTTCGGTGCTACCCGTGTATTTTTTTAAATTTAATTGTAACATGCTGCAATGTTCCAACTTTAGAGGAATTATTTAGTAGGTATGAGATGTCACTGTAGAATAAGGTAGACTATACAGAGATTATTCTGAAAGTTGTCTAGTACTAGTAGTATGTAAGGCCCTCAGGAGATTAGACTCCAGTGGTTGATACGTTGTACCAGTAGATCTAAGCGAGGAATCACATGACCACGTAATGTACATACCACGTCGTGTCGTGTCGTAGACTACAAGAATCCATATTGCTACCATCCCGAGCCATGCAACCAGCTCCAGGCAGAACGACCTGCTCCAACGTTGCTTGGATCGAGGGTCGTTGATTGATGATCAGGCAGCCTTAGATCGAACCAACGCCATCATGTTCTCTCGATCTTCAGAATTTTTTATCTAGCATCATCAAATAAGTCCTTACATATATATATAGGGGCATATACACGCGGATAACCGAATATGGTTTTCGTTATTTCGTATTCAGTTTTCTGTACCCTTTCAAGGTGTTGATATTCAGCTTGTTACCTTCATTCTCAGTAATATCTAACATCTTGTCAATCAGAACACCTGAGGACGACGAGGGAAGCGATGTATGTTGAAAAGAAAGAGGTATTGTGGGTGGATGACGAGGACTTATTTTAAGTCGATGAAATCTCGAGCTCGGTGTTTAGCGTGATGGCCTCAATGACAAACCTCTAAATTGCAAGGAAGTTCAATAGAGTGTACAACGTCGTCTGGTCTGGGGATGCTCAGTACCTTGCCAATAACAAGTTCACTTGGGTTGATGAATATCAAGTCTTTGGCATCAACAAGTTCAAGGTAAAGATTTCCTACAACTCTAGTTAGACATAGAATCATACCCATAAAACATTGATTGGATCAGGCTGGAGCTCTTGTCAAAGCTTTGACCAACCTGCACGATATCGAATCCGGACAAACTTGCGAGATGAACGAAGCTGGTGTTATGGGCGATGCCATTGGAACCACCGACAACAGTGGTAAATTCAAAGTCATCAACAAATTCGGAAGGTTTCATTTGGTGTCAACTCTAAATTCGGAGATCAGATGCTCCCGATTTTCGTCACCCCACAAATGAAGCACTAGGACATGATCCTCAAAGAGGGCTTTGAGTACTCTAAGGTCTGCTGGGGTAAAAGTTGAAGTATTGACCGCTCTCCGCGTCAAGGTCAAGTCAGAGTGAAGAATGAGAGAGACAGAAACTGCTTTGATGAGCGGATATCGTCAATGAAGCCCAGTGTGGCTGCTCGCTCATAGCAGATGTGCATCCAATGTGCTATGGGCGTGATTGTGAGCATACAGGGCCAGCGAGACCTTAGTCCAAGAGGAAGTTAGCCAGGCAGAATATAGCGGGGAGATGAAGAGGAGGAACGTACAATGGTTCCCCATCCTCGATTATCCATCTATATCCTAACGAGTATCCACATTGACGTCCTGCGGCTTCAATCTACTAAGATATTGGAAGGAATGGTTGTGGGTAAGCGGAAAGATGAGTGAGCGATGGTAAAGGCAGGGAAAAGGCAGTGCATATGTAGGATGAGATTCGGACAGGATAAACTACCAGAGCTAGAGGATAGTAAGCCAATCGTTATTAGCTTGAGAAAGAAAACAAACAAACAGAGACGTACCAATTGCCTGAAGCTGCCATGAGGTCCTCACCTGCAACAGACAGAGGTAGATTCATGGATAAATAAGAGGAGAGTGAGAAGAATGCATAGTAGCAATGGAGAATTGATTCAAATCTTTTCTTGAATGATGGAGGGGAGACAGGGTTGGGCGAAGGAGGAAGAGAGAGGGTATGGCATAATGGTAGTCGGCATTAGTGGGACGAAGTAGAACAGCTTCGTTCGTTCCAAACGTTTATTTGCGGTCGGGGTTACCTGTGAGTTAATGCGAATGATGGATCTTGAAACACAGCGAGCATTGAGTAAGAAACAAATGACGATTTTGAGCGAGAGCAGCGATTGAGGCGTCGGACGCGAATGACCAAAACGGCTAGCCTCGCTAAGCCAGGCGGTCACGGTGTGCTTATATAAGTGATCTAGCATGAGACTGACACTTGATATAACGCCTGGTACCTGTTACGATTATTCACCACCGGGAGACGGCGAGCGCATGGCTTGCTATGATCCGTGATGTCATGGTCCCAACAATTTTGTGTTCTCGTAATGCGCAATGTGTGCTCCGGATGCCACTGCCGATGTCGCTAATCATCATCTTTGGCAACGTTTACTATTGCTCGAGTCTAGGCCAACACCACTCGTTAGCATCGCTGCAGCCAGCGCTATGGCTTTCTCCTCAACTGCCCACTGCACCTGCACGCTTATTATACTTACTCCTGACATCCTGTGATATTCTCTTCTCTCGTCATTCTTTCTCACCATCATCCGCGATCCCTCTTGCCGTCTTCCTGGACAGTATCTGATTTGGGGAGTCCTTCCCCATAGGCATTATGGAAGCTCTTCTCCTGCTCACAGGCATACCCATCGCTCACAGGATGTCATGATATGCTGCTGCAGATTTGTCTCATAGATGCCGTCATGGGACATCGAATGCACATATCGAATACGCCATATTTAGGCCACAACTTTATAAGCACACCTCTAACCCAATCGTGCCGTGTTGATATACCTCCCAGGACTCGAAGGTGTGTATATCTTGTTGACGATGTTGAACGCGGCTGAACATCAGACCTTGAGCATATGCAACTACCACTTCCCAGCCCAAACCAGCATTATTGCAACATTTCTGCTCTCGAAGCAGGACTCATAAACCTCCCCGATGTTATGTTCATTAACAACGCAGATCCTACCCATGTCACCACTGCACCCTCTTTGTCCTTCCTGCTCATCCACTCCGCGAATTACCAGAAATTCATCTTTGATCTTGGCATTCGACAGGACTGGGAGAACTACACCCCAGCAGTGGTGAGGTGGATCAAGAAAACATATAAAATCGACGTCAAGCAAGATGTAGCGCAATCACTGCAGAAGGGTGGGACATCCCCAGCTGATATTACTACCGTCTGCCTCTCACACTGTCACTGGGACCACGTTGGAGATACCAGCCCATTTACAAATAGCGTATTTGTCCTCGGCGGCGACAGCCAGCAACTCTTCAATCCTGGATACCCGGCCGAAGCCAACAGCTCCTTCTCCTCCGACCTCCTCCCTTTGGGGCGCACGAATTTTCTCTCAGTCGCAGACTGGCAGCCTATCGGTCCATTCCCACGCGCACTCGACTTCTACGGCGACGGCAGTCTGTACATCATCGATGCTCCCGGACATCTCCCAGGGCATATCAACCTCCTTGCTCGTACCTCACCAGACGGAGCATGGATTTACCTGGCAGGTGATAGTGCTCATCATTGGAATCTCCTCAATGGAGCATCGGATATTGCAGTTGGACACCCTGGCCATTTACATTCATGCGCACATGTAAATAAGGAACAGGCAGAGGAGCATATTGCTCGAATAAAGGAGCTGTTAAACATGCCTCGTGTGAGAGTAATGCTGGCGCATGATGAGCCATGGTTTAGGGAGAATCATGGGGGGGCTCAGTTCTGGCCGGGAAAGATCCAGTCACTATAATGTGGAGAACACGGTACGCCGACAATGTTTTAAGTGCATAGATTTTATTAACAAGAAAGCAGGATCTCTACGCGGTGAAATGTTATAAAGTCTCCAATTTCCATGCTCTCCATTTTTTGATATTTTGAAACATGTCCTCCGTGGACTCTATTTCTGCAGTATGGTTGACATGCAGACGATTGACTACCTGCGCCAGCCAGTTTATTCAACAACGCGAATTTTATGTATATTTATAGGTTACTCTGTGCCTGATATTTAAAGCGCCATATGGTGGCTCATGAGTCAGCGAATGAAGACCTATGCTATATAATATGACTCGAATTCAAATCCCTGAAAGATAAAAAGACATGACATACTCACTCTGATATCTGTTCCTTTAATTCCGGTAGCCCCGGTGTAAATGAAGTATGTCTATATTATCTTGTGAATCTTGCTGTCTCTTAGCTTTCTTATCCTCTGCTGTAGTACGTTTCATCTTGGAATTGTAAGTGAATCTGACCCACCGGACCACATACACGAACTAAGGATCATCATTGGAAATTCGGAATGCTTCTCTGCCACTAGTGTGTTACGGACAAAGTCAAGGCTGGCGATTGAGCTGAAAGATCTTAACTGTCGCAAGGGGCGACTTTTAGAAGCACGAAACTGAGAGTGTGTGTGCATGGCGTTAATTCGACGACAAACTACAGTACAAACTATGAGTATAAGTGAAGAATGAACACCATGACGAAGGTAGTGGTACAGAGCGTAAATAGTAAACAAGTTTTGTAACTATGATGAAGGTGGCGAAGAGGATTGTATCATAGTGGTGACCTAACCATCACATAGCGCTTCTCGTGTTTCGACGACTTCAAGATGTCACTCCCTTCTCCCTGGTCTGAGCAAGCCTACTGTGAAGTTTCGGCTATAGAGGCCGGTCAAAGTTCACGTGAGCAAGCCGTCAACCGGCAATGTGTCGAACTCTCAGATATGTTGATAGTGTGGGCTCCCGGTATTGCAGCCGTAACAGGTGTAAGGCTACCAAACAGCCGGGAGCCCATCGGACACGGATTGTTATCACGTGGCCTAATTTGCGGACCACGCGATTAGTATCAAATGGAAATATGAAGTGCGCATTTGACTTCGATTGTACCCGGCTTTGCGGTGCTCAGGCCTCAAGGCAACCAGCACACCTGTCCCTCCTGCTGCCCTTTCTCTTGATCGCCACTATCTGGAACTACTCACCTGTGCTCATCTACTTATCATCAATAAACCATTCTGAGTGGAAGCCTCAAGAGAGCCCCAGCTACATTGTGTCAAGTGAAAAGCCTTCAATACAGTAAGAAATCTTAAATTTTGTATACCCGAAACCCTGAGAGCATACA